CTTTTTATTTGAGTATCAACGTATTTAGCATGAAAGTACTATTGAGATCACCGTTTTTACGTCTGCTACTGGGGACGGGACCCGCCATTTTACTTGGTCAACCGAGCCATACGAAGGTCTAGCCGTTTATTCAAAGGCAGCACCTCCATTTTCAGTTATTTTAAGACCCTGAGTATTGGTTCGGTCCCGGGAATCGAAACCGTGCCCTTAGCTCTACAGTCAAGCGCTCTACCGACTGAGCAGTAGTCCTAGCCTGAGTATCAGGCCTTCCTAAGGGGCTAGGGGAGAGGAGATTTTACTTGGGGGAGGGGGGAGGAAGAGAAGAGAAAGGACTCTCCTTCAGCTCTCTCCCTTTTTCGCTTTCATCTTTCCCCTTTTCCCCAGAAACGCCTGATACTCAGGCTACAGTAGTCCATGAATAGATTTTAAGTGAGTAATCTTTGTTCATTCATCGTAATCTAAACGGGTGTGAGTAGTTCCTGTGGTTTCGACGGTATTACGGAAAGAAAACGACATAAAATGCCTTATATGTGAATCCGAAGTTACGATGCACGCTTATGTGCGGATACCTCGCCACAGCACAGACATATCTCTGTTACGGACATATGGACCCAAAGATACTAGCCCAATCCAAGATTTCCTTGCGAATTTTGAGACATCTTTTGCAGTTCGGCATTTGTGTCTGTACATTTGAAAGGCACTTTTGTTACGGGTGCGGTATGTTAGTATGTAGAAGGTGTAATCAATGGTGACAAGTGAATTTAGGGAATAATTTCACTCGCGTTTTGTCCAAGGTAGTTAATATTAATTGTTAGTAAAATCCAGCTGGTGGTCTATCATCAAGGCTGTGTTCTGATTGGTTGAGCTACTACTAGGCTATATGCTTTTTGGCGGCAAAAAAGGATCAAAGTCTAGCTTTAACTTGCTAAAGTTGTTTTGTCTCGATATTTTTTGACCAACTAGTTGGATTTTACTAAAACAATTATTCCTCTCGCCCTCATGGCCTCTGAGTCAATAGCCCATTCGGCCTTCGGCCTTATGGGCTATTGACTCAGAGCCCGCTCGAGGAATAGTTAATGGGTGACAAATTACGTTCACAAGACTCGGGCTTTATTCAAACCTGCACGCCATGTTTCCACCCTGGAAAAAGTTGTTATAGCAACCTCGTTATAATTTTACGTGGGAAATTATAAATTAACGCTGAAATTTCGCGCCAAAATTAAGGAGTAATTTGTCACCTATGAAAAGTGTATTACATGACTTATGTCCCTCAAGGAGCTTTATTTTCCGGGTTAAAATTGCATTTCTTGATTCTTTATATGGTTTGGCTTTTGTAAGTTTTGCCGTCCAACCGTTTTCTGACCTTAAACTGAGGGTCAATTGTCACCATTTCTTTGTGTTTTTATTCCAGTCGTTGTGTCCTTTCCCTGCCGAAGTGATTCGTCAAGAACTTCAAAAGTTTCCTGGAGCGAAAGGTAGTCTTCCTGACTTCTACTTTTAGAAATGATGTTCACGTTTTGCAACAGTTCTATGTTTTCCCACTCCTAGTTAGCCTCCCCGCAGACGTCCTTTGGGGTTCGTTTGTCACGTATTCATTTCTCCCCCACGGACGGTCCGTGGGGGAGAAATGAATACGTGACAAACGAACCCCAAGGACGTCTGCGGGGAGGCTAACTCCTAGTAGTCTCCCTCGCAGCCGTTTTTGTCTCGTCACGCGAAGCTCCTCCCAAAGAAAGTTTGTTAGGGAGAAGCGTTGCGTGACGCGACAAGTACGGCTGCGAGGGAGACTAACCCACTCCTGGCAACAAAAAGGAAAGGGGGTTGGGGAGTATTGATTTTAAAAAGGCAAAACAAATAGCGTCATAAATAAATCAAAATTTGCCCGTTTAAGAAAACGACAGTACAGGTATAAGATAATGTAAGGATAAAATTAGGGTGGAACATTTGCCTCTTGCTCTTTAAAGGCGTTTACTGTCTTTTTCAGAATATATATGGAGCCAAGAAGAACACAGAAATATGGGAGCTTGGAGTTTTGTTTCGCCACGATTCGAAAATATTCTTGGAATAAAGGTGACTTTCTCACTTTCAGCACTGAGCTGTTTCGGAAATACTACACTGAACACAAAGGTTTAAGTTAATCACACTTGTTTTTGTTTTTGTTCTAGCTAAAATATGCTGGTCGAAAAGTTTTGGGCGTGCCCGCAGTGGGTATTGGAAAGCTACACTCACAGGAAGTAATAGAGATTTTAAATGATACCTTCCCAAATAATGCGGATTGATGAATCGTACACCACATGTCCTAGAGGTACGCTGCCGTCGCCTCGCTTCATAAGGGCTTGACTATGCTTAAATGTTAAACACTTCTTTACAGCCACCTGCTATGGTATAAAACTATCTCGTATCAGTTCAAGTCGTTTAGGCACAGGAGGGGCTCACATCGGACTAGATTATAATGAATGAGTAATGATTACTTCATCGATGTTTTCAATTTTGCGCTCAACTGGTGGAAGACCTCAAGCAAAAGAATTGGGAGAGGGGGCGGTCTGGGATAATCGGAAATTGAGAAAACTCTCGAACGAATCGATCACATGCCGAGGATACATCTTAAAAGAAATTTGAGCGCCATCGAAGATTTCTTGGTTCCACACCTCGCATTAACGGACAAATTCAAAATAGCCCGCGCCAAAGAAGGACCTTTTTATTTGAGTATCAACGTATTTAGCATGAAAGTACTATTGAGATCACCGTTTTTACGTCTGCTACTGGGGACGGGACCCGCCATTTTACTTGGTCAACCGAGCCATACGAAGGTCTAGCCGTTTATTCAAAGGCAGCACCTCCATTTTCAGTTATTTTAAGACCCTGAGTATTGGTTCGGTCCCGGGAATCGAAACCGTGCCCTTAGCTCTACAGTCAAGCGCTCTACCGACTGAGCAGTAGTCCTAGCCTGAGTATCAGGCCTTCCTAAGGGGCTAGGGGAGAGGAGATTTTACTTGGGGGAGGGGGGAGGAAGAGAAGAGAAAGGACTCTCCTTCAGCTCTCTCCCTTTTTCGCTTTCATCTTTCCCCTTTTCCCCAGAAACGCCTGATACTCAGGCTACAGTAGTCCATGAATAGATTTTAAGTGAGTAATCTTTGTTCATTCATCGTAATCTAAACGGGTGTGAGTAGTTCCTGTGGTTTCGACGGTATTACGGAAAGAAAACGACATAAAATGCCTTATATGTGAATCCGAAGTTACGATGCACGCTTATGTGCGGATACCTCGCCACAGCACAGACATATCTCTGTTACGGACATATGGACCCAAAGATACTAGCCCAATCCAAGATTTCCTTGCGGAGACATCTGGGAGGCGTACGCCTTGCTGTTTCCCTTTGGTGTCCGTTCAAAGAGGTTTTGCTTTATGTTTTTGCGTCTACTGGAATTCGATTTGTCAGTCCTGAAGACTAGTCAGTTACAAACTCGTCCCATTTAGGGTAAAGCAAGACAGTCTTGGATTCCGGAATCCACAGCGTCGATTCCGGATTCCTTGTCAGTGAAACTTGGAGTTTGGATCAATTTAGGTTTCTGGGAAACTGCCCACGTACCCCTCCCTTAAGCGATCATTTTTTGCCTAATTGAGAAGGAA